TAGGCTTCGCCCGGAAAGTGCTGAAAGGACACGCACGTGCGTGACACTCCGCCGTCCGGGCGGCACAGCCGGGCTCTGCGGACAGCAGCGGCCTCCCCGGACGACGCCAGCACGCTGCGTCCGCAGAGATGCTGCTTTCAGACGAATCGAAGTTGAGCCTGCTCAGCTGTGAGTGCTCAAGAACAGAACATGCTCTCCTCCGGCGGCACCCCCCGGCTTCCGCAAGTATCGCCCGTCGTTTCCCCTGCTGCAGCCCACTCGGTTTGTCACAAATGTCACCAGCAAATTCCGGACAAAATGAGAGCAAACACCCAGCAGGTGAGGCCTCATGCACTGGTACCTCACTCCCGCTTCACCCGCGAGGGTAACTGCCAACGTGTTTCTCCCGCTCTAATGTTCAGCTCACCAAGGATCAGTATCCGCAAAGAAAGTCCGTGTACCTACCTTCCTGTACGTGTGCGCACCTGCACCGTGTGTCAAACGCAAAGAAAACGTAACAAGAAGATGAACGCCTACTTTCACATACTTCAGTAGCCACACCGTTTCGGGGGAATTTTTCTATTGAGCAGTGCATTCCATCTACTACCCTAGCTGATGGTTAAAAAATACACAAGTCAGGTCATTGGAAACGATGAGAAAAAAAAAAAAATACAAGGATAAAACATAGTGAGGAGAAGAGTAAAATGGATAATGGAGACTGACACTTTTTCATTCTAAATTAATGTTTGAAATTTTTATGATGCACACATATTTTTAAACTGAAGCGAAAATCTAAGGAGAAACTGAAGCATTTATATTCATAAAACAAGGTCGATCTATAACCCTGACAATGAAAGTATTTTAAGGAAAGGAGTTCTGAAATAAGCATTATGATACAGCCATAGGATAAACGCTTTCGGGCCCACTGTAAGGCAAGTAGCACTTAGCTGCACGATTTTATATCATCCTCCGTACAAAAGATGCACCTTATCACGCCACCTAGATGCACAAGAATATATGCCAGTGACACATTTGTTAGTACCTCAGCTGTCAAAGGCGCACAACCAGAGGCAAGGTGGGGGGACGCATTCTTGCAAATGGGCAGAGAGAAAGAACAAGGGACCGTGAAAGTATTGAACTGACGCTGTACCAGGAAAGGCCAAGTGACCATCTGGACGCCACCGAGGAGGGGTGACGCGGAGTGAGGGCGCTCGGGGGTGTCGAGGGCTTCGGCCTGGGCTGCAGACACAGAGCTTCTGAAAAGGGGGGTTGGAGAAGAGGGGAGAGAAAGAGAGAAAGGCCAAGAGCTGTGGGAGCGCACAGTGACCGCTAACTGGGTCTCACGGGGGGCGGGAGGGGCGCACGGGACTCGCGCTCTGGAAAGCACCAGCGGCTGCACTGACCCTCGGCCATGGCCAGGCGACCTACAACAGCTGCCCCAGCCAGTCTCACAGTAACAAAGAGGAAAACACCAGCAGGCAAGAGCTTTGTGCCGGTTTTCGAGGAGTTTCTCCTCAAAGAGGGGTGCCGTGACATTTTGTGGCAGCAGAAACACCTATAAACACTGGAGGGAACCTGTCTTCGCCTGGCAAGTCTTCCTGCAGAGATGCAATCGAGCTGGACCTTAAAGGATGAGCGGGAGTTCGCAAGATGAACAAGTGAAATGTCTTTTAGCCCAAAAAATGGGAGAAAAAGGCAAGCGGGGTTCTACTGTGTCCATCAGTAAGTAACAGGCAGGGTGGCAATGGGAGAGGGCAGCGGGCGCGCTGAGGCAGACATGGGGTCTATGAAAACCAGGCGGAGCCAACCCCAGGAGCAGCCCCAGTTACGGAGGAACAGCCCTAAGGTGATCACCCCAACAAAACATTCCCCTGGGAATCTCTAACAGGGATGATGTGTGCATCAGCAAGCATGAAAATTATAACTCTTCATCACGTATGGAAAGTATAAACCTTCATCGTAGTCTCTTCCCCAAAACCTATGCCAGAAAATACCTACACGTCACACAAGACTTTGGCACAGAGTTAAATTAGCAACTTTGCATGAGGCTGAAGGTCCTGTATCAGACACCCCCACATCCTCAGGACACCCCACTCTGACCTGCAGAGC